ATCTCATTTATCACTTTCACGGGTTTATTACGAATCAACTTAACGGCCTGCTCCCAGTTGGCTTGTTAGCTCAATTGGTAGAGCGCTGCACTAGTATCGCAGAGGTCAGTGGTTCGAGTTCCGTACAGGCCTGATTTTTTTCAGGTCTGATTTTCGCTATTGCATAAATAGCGCTATCTACTGCGAGGATCGCACATCATACGTATTTAATCCAATCCCTCGCTTGCGCGATGCAAGAAAACCTGTTTAACCGGTACTCTAGAGTACAAATACCGCGTGATATTTGTACTCGTTTATGGCGTTATTTGTACTCTACGAAGTGCAGTTGGATAATAATATACCTTATGGGCTTGTTTAAGTCCCTGAAAAGTTTACTCGAGCCTTGTTATTCCACTGGATAGCGTCACCCGCCCTTCGTATAATGGGACCCATGACTGAAGTAATCTACACCACAAAAAAGTTTTCCTTTTCTACCCTCTCTTTCTTAAATGATAAAACTAGACCAGTCATAAGGGTTTTTTCCCCCTAATTTGGATATTTTTTTAATTGCTTTCCATTTAGGAGTTCGCTGGAAATTTCGATAGGTCTACCCCAGTTCCTCACCAAATGAAAAATGAAATCGAGGCACATAGCATTCGCCTTAGACCGCTTGCCTGGCAGGAGCTGGTTTGTATGAGATTTGAAGTGTTCGGCTGTCCCGTTGAAGGCGCTCCTGGTAAGTTCGCTGAGGTCATATTGAGTTGATTCTTAGGCCTCCGCAATCTGATAAACAATTCCCGATCTCTTCCAACTATTACACATCTCCTTCCAAATTATTTCAAAGAGTTTGAAGTTACATCGAGATAAAACCCTCCTGCAGAGACTGCCCTGAGATTGTGGGATGTTAAACGTTTATCCCACAGGGGGGTTGAATTGATTGCGAGGTCTGATCATCGGTGTGAGAGTTTTCCTGACAGGACTGTTGTTGGCGACGGTGACTGACGTTTCAAAAACCTGAGCAGAAGTCATCGTTAGAGTTAGATTTGAGGTAGTTTGTCAGTGGAATGTCGAGTCTATGACTCGTGAAAACTGCGTGATGTTATCGGCCTCAAGAGTCAAGTAGCATACACCGGTATTAGATATCAACTTGGTCTCCCTATATGCTCTCATAGTAACGCGCTCATATAGCTCGACTTTACGGCTGGAAACGAATAGACGCCCCGTGAGATCTCAGCACAGGATTTGTTGTTTCGAAATAATCCTATGCATATGAAATCTTATGATCTCAGTAGATGGGAGTGAGAAGCTGAATTATACTTAAAATATGGCCTCTGTGGTAGCCTCATTTGACAACCTCGTTCCCAGGGCTTTCCCTTTTTGAATATTTTTCCCGCCCGCCAAAATATTCAAAAAGGGAAAAGCCCTGGGAACGAGGTTGCTCATTTGATGCTCCCTCAATCTAAATGCATTCTGCCAGACCTCATATAAGAGCAGTGCCCGCTACCTCGTGATCACTGTCTTTCTTACAGAAAATTGCATTGACCCTCTTGGTTTGGAGTCTGGACATATCCCTGATGAAGCGCTAAGTCACAGCGTGGACACATCCCGAACGGTGTCAAATCCCACTTATATCCGCCTGAACAAAGATGTTCCTTATTTTCCCTTCGGCTGGCAGGCGACAATGGGCGGATTGGATTATCTTCAGGTATGGTATCGTATAACGGGGTTTGTTTATCGTTCTAGACCTGGTAGGGCAGACTGAGGCGAAAATTATAGCAAAGCCACTACCAGTTAACAATGAAGATCGAAATGACTTTAACAACATTAGAGTTCTTGTACTATGTGTAATCATTTTATACATTTATAAATAATGGTGAGAGCACAAATCACCCAAACATTCGACGTCATCCGTCCAAGAAATGTTGTTGTTGATACCTGTGTCCTGCTAAGCGGACCACGTGACGCATTGGCATGATACAATGGGGGGAGGAGTAAGGGAAACGTTTACTTTCGCACTAGAGCGCTTTTTGATTGCGCTCAACCCTTTACAACCTAACACCAGCATGGAGATTCTCCATACTGTTCAGTATGCATATTCTCCATACTGTTCTCTATGCATCTTTCAAGGTGCTGACAGGAAGAATTTGTTTAACAATCAAGAGCTTCTTTAGCTGGTGATCATTTCCTTTATTCTCATGACGTTAATGTAGGATTCAGGAGTGATATTGTTTGGAGAAATCAGATTCTTATCAAACTTAAGGGTCAAAGGGTTAATAAAACTAAAATAAAGGAAATCGCAGCGACTAATCAAGAAAAAGAGCATATCACAACAAGCTGATGGGTACTCAGTCGTGAAATGTCGATGGCAGGCAAAGAAATTTATCTCGTTTTGCTTTATTTGTCAGTTTGAAAGAGCAAGTTAACAATTCAGTTCTCCCTCCACCCCTCAGGTTGACTTTGGCTCATTACGGAAGGTGACTCGAGTGGCAACACAAGGGGCTGCTTCGTTCTTTGTGACACGTTTTCAGCTGAAGTTCAGTAACAACAGCATAGAGTGGTTGGATTATACAGAAAATGGAATCATTAAGGTAAAGTTGAAAAGTAAAAGACGATGTGATTCCTTTTCATAACGACGACACAAAAAGATGACATGACCTTTCAACGGGAACCAAGTTCGTTTTCAAGATTCCAGACTTCATAATATAGGGAGTCACTTGATGCCTGGAAAATCCCGGAGGGGGGGCGGCGGCTAACTTCCTAGTAATAGGCTAATGGGGATGTGCGCCTGGATGGGGTCGCATTTTCAATAGAGTTACAAGAATGGACTAAGAAAATTCTAGTAAGTAGAGATTTAAAAATGGGGACATTCGCGGTTAAAAAGCGTGCATGTAGGTCCGAAATGAAATGAAATGAATTTTTTTCGTAAGAGATACCACCAGCATCAGAGGAAAGAGTTTGAACCTCAGAGTGCAATCTAATTCTCATGCATGCAATATACCTGTAATTCTCATCGGTATTTTTTTGGCAGGAGCTGAATGGTCCAAAGGATGACCAAGAAGCTAAAAACCCGATCCTGGTGAAATTATTTGAGCCATTTACGGCGCGCTATGTGCGTTTTATTCCAACCAGCGCTCCAGTTCTTAAAATAATGCGAGCCGAGCTGTATGGCTGCATGGCTGAACCATTGCCTCCGTTTGGCGGTATGATAGCCGTCAAACCCTAACTTCAGCATACAAATTATCGGATCAAGGTCAGGATCAGAGCAAATGGGCACTTACCCTTCCCCTAACCCAACATTAACCGGAAGTTGTTAACATTTGACTCTTGTTGGATTAGGGGAGGGGTAGGTGCGCAGTTGTTCCGACAATGGTATTGATCTAAATTATTCTTACTAGCACTGATGAAAATGTGTTTACCATGGAATTACATCTTTTCTTGTTGATATTTGTTTCCTTTTTTGGCATGACCATAAGCGTTTGATTGAGCTCATTTTCGTAAACGTAATCGTGACAATTGTCAAGGAATAGATGGACCTTATAAATATAATACGTACCGCGATTCTTATCAACTGAATAAACCAAAACAATCCTTGGTCTAACATGGTTTTTTATTGGCAGGTGTCCCAGAATACTCTCGAAGGGCCGTGCTGTTGGACCCAGACTCCGGACGGTTTTATGTGTGTATGTACACTGAACAAAAGTGAGTGAAAAAAGGATCTTCAATAAGTAGATTGCATTTCTTTAAGAGGTTGTCATTCTGAGTTATAAAATAAATTCTCTTGTTTGTTAGATCAGAGAGCAGCTGTTTCTCCTCGATTGACGGATTGGATTGGACAGGTAATGTTAAACTATCAGAGAACGCAATGGCGTGACGGCTAGCGCGCTGGAACATTGAATATTGATGTTCCTGTCAAATCAAATCACCGGCAGAGTACCTGTCAATTAAAAAAAAAATGGCAGGTGATCACTAACCGGCTTACCCACACGAGTGTATAACAAGTCCTTTTGTTTTACACTCTGGAGGGGCGGGGAGGGGGAGAGGACTGGGTTTACATTTAGCTGAATTATGATAAAACAGGAATGTCTCCGCCGGAAGGGAACATGGTTAAAGCTGGAGGTGTAATTAGGGTTGGGTGAACAAAGTCAGAAGCGAAGTTAAAAAATTGTACACGGGTTCTCATTCAGCAGTTGAAAAAAAAAAGGGAAACTTTTAAGCAACATGATTCAGGGAATATTCGTGTCTAAATGTTTCTCTCGAATTCGTCTCCGGAAATGCTGACTTCAGCAAAATAAATCACACTTGCCCTCGGACCCAGACAATAGGCGTACAATGTCGAGTCAATATTGCACTCAGTGCGAAGGATACGTTTAACTAGTGACGCCAAATATATTCATTAATTTGCCAAGCAAACTAAAATCACCTACGTGGAATTTACCAGGTCTTGATGAGTCCATCGTCAGTATCATTGCTTTCGACCCTGCAAATGGAGCGCTCTTTGGAGTAGACTATAAAATGAGCTTTCACCGAAGCACCGATGACGGTGTGACCTGGAAAACAGTTTCCTCTAAGTACTTTTATGATTTGAAGAACGAGACAGCCCTGATAATGAGCACAGGGATACCAGAGAACCTAGTATCTGCCTCGCCAAGTTCATTTTGGTCCGCGACTTCATCAAGTGGGAAGAAGTGGGCAGGTTAGTACTTTAAGTACATTGATTTCTGATAAGTTGCTTTTCTGTAAAGATAAGTTGCTTTTCTGTAAAGATAAGTTGCTTTTCTGTAAAGATAAGTTGCTTTTCTGTAAAGATAAGTTGCTTTTCTGTAAAGATCGTAGTGTAAATTATAACTTGAGGAAGAATGATTCTCTTGACCTAGTCAGCATGTACAGTATTTTCAAATATAGCTTTTTTTATCCGTGTTGGGAATGAATGGAACAGTCTTCCAAATAATATAAAGGATTCTGCTAGTATTTCTAGCCTTAAACATAAAGTTACTTCATTCCTTGGTAATACTTAGAATTTTTAGATTTGATTCAATGTAATACTTAGAAATGAAACTCTATACTATGATAACTGTTTTTTAATATTATATCTTACTGGGGAGCATCCCTCGTATGGTGTCTAGGACGCTTTTGGATGCTGCCTCTCCATCATCATTATTTATTTATTCTGTTTATGTTTATGTCTATGTATTTATTTATGCATCTATTTAGTAATTTAATTTAATCTAGATTTGGAGAAACTGTAATAATTAAAAATAAATAAAAGATTCTCGACGCGGTGCATGATGGAAGGTGAAGAGTATTTACAACAGACTGTTTTCCTTTGAAAGTGAACTTGTCCGTGAGAGTTCGATGGAGTAGCCATGATTCCCTTTATGGTTTCCTTGACAAGTTTCCTCTTTCAAAACCTTGCAGCTCGGCTTTGAAGAGAGGAACAAGCGTAAAAACCTACTTTTAGTTTTGCATCAAGATCGAACCCTACCAGTCTAAAAGCGGCTTAAATTTTCAACCACGTTTTACGACTTTAGAGCTTCTCCTGTGTTCGGTTTTCTCTTTTCTTATATCAAAGAATACATACTTGACGAGATTATCCTTAAATTTACAGAAAGTAAGAATACTGCTTTAAAAAACTAAGCCTAAATTTTTACTAGTCCCACCGAAAAAAATGAGTGACTCTAAGGCCTCCATCTATTGATATGAGCGCCCGGGTCGTTTCAAATCGCAACCAATTCTCGAAATGGTTGATCCGTACGCTCTTGTGGAAACCAGGATTACCAAGATTCTCTTTAAAGTGTTCGGCTTGTTTTTTACTAATCACCAATCTTTTTACTCCTTCTAGTCTCCGCGTCAGGCGTACACAGTATGGCCGCTGGCCAAACTGAATGGAGTATGGTGGCATTGTGGAAATGCTGTGGAAACTGATTTCATCGCATGACGTTTCATATCGAACAGGCCTCATAAAATGCCGTCTCCGCTCAGTCCGTTTAAACACGAAGGCGCGCTATAAAAGGAGCCTTAGGTCCCACTGGACCATTTGTCAATCAACCGTCGTGTGATGTAGAACTCTTGGAGTCAAGTCAGCTTGAGCTACAGCTACTCCAAAGCAGTGAACAGCGGGCGCATTCCTCAAAATTGTTTTATGTCTTCATCACAATACAAGAATTTTTGAGATTTGTATTTCCTTTCTCCAATGGAAACTGTCTTTATTTGTGGCGGTAAATTTGAGATCGAAGTAGGTGGTTCGCACGTTACCTCATGCCACCATGCTGGTGGAAGTAAACAATAGATATCTCATCAGCTCCTTTTGCTCGTCTTCCAGCATTTAAATTTGACCCGCACACGTCAACGATGAGTGACAAATGAGCCCAGGTCTTCCCAGGGAAGACTTCCTTACATAGCGCACCTTCGTGTTTAAGGTCCTTTTATTATACTAATTAGTGTAAGAATTGTAAAAATGCTCGCCACTACAACTGGTATTTCATGGCCAAATGAAAGAAACTGCAAAAGCGAAGTGGTCGAGATTTAAGGCATGTCCCCACTGTATTTTGTCGAACTAAACACTGATTTGAGGTCATAATTGAAAGACCAATTTCCTTCAAGAAACTGACTGAAAAAGGTCTTTAACTGTCATTTTTTGTTTCTTTTTTTTGTTTTATCTTTTTTTTTAACTTTTACCCCCCTTCGAACTTGTTTCGGATTCCGTTGGTCAAATAGAGAGCATCCAGACTGATTGCATACTAGTCGTGAGAATTACATCCGACTTGTAAATAGTGACAAGGTGATAATAAAATGTGTTGAAAGTCTTGAAAGTAAAGATAATAGTGACTGGTGTAAAATTCAACTCTCCGCAACACCTTTCTAACCTCTTCAGACAAGAGCCAACACTATGACTATGCTTCTTCATTCATATTTCACAGCGGTTTTTACGTGACAAGGACACTGTTCATTTATATTGCACAGCACATCCCCAGTGCGCAGAGGTTTAGTGGGACTAGAGCTCGAACATTCACGACAAAATGGCGGATCTCTATAACGGCCGTGGTACCTTTTTAGCCGTTTCATCCCATACAAGCAGACGTTCTAATTTTACGGTTTTAACTCTGTGTTTGCAATATCGTCCGGAGTATTCAATATTCCATAATTGATTTTTCCCCCTTGACTGTCAACTACTGCTAATTCTGTTCTCATGAATTTGTCTTATTCAGGTCCCTATGTTTTCGAACCAAAAAAATATACCGTAGCCATGTCAGCTTTGAAAATATTTCTCAAAAATTCAATTTACCCATGTTGAAAGGCTCAGTATAAAAAAAACGCACGCATTTCTTTCAGAAAATGGAGTGGCGAGGAAAATTTGCAACATTATTTTGTTCCTTGACCTGTTGCATCACTTTCACAAAGGGAAACTGGTTATAATTTCTAAAACTATTTTTTTTTCATCTTGGAAAATAAGTAGCATTAAAACGTGAACTCTTGATTAGCCCTTTATTCCCTGACATCAGTATTTATTTTCTCCACACTGTTCCGGCTCTTTACATTTCCTGTGGCACTGACAAGGAGAATTCGTGTGACAATCAGGAGCTGCTTAAATTCATTTCCTTTATTCTCGTGACTTTTACAGGTGATTCAAGGGGGTACTGTGAGGAGAAACTACAAGTCGGTGACTCAAGGGTTAAAGAGTTATTATAAGAACTAAATCATGTTACTCAGCCAAGATTGAGTCACGAATTGATTCGGACACATCCTTACTGTTTACTGTCTGCGTCGATTCGTTTCTCAAGCTCGTTTATCGTATTTAACATAAAAATGCAAAAAAAAAAATTATCATGTCAGTGGGTTTTGATTTGTTTTGATTATGTGCGGTTTTCTTTCTAGAAAAACCATTATTTTTTTCACCTGTTTCATGCTGTCTGTTTTACCTCTGTCCAATCAAAATCATAGCCGCACGAAAATGACTGCATTATTTAAGGATTTATCAAATTTTGTTTCTCGTAAACACGAGGCTAAGCTCAGCCTTCGAAACAATAATGTTATCATTGACAGTTGACTTGGTTTATTCAAAGGTTGATTTTACTCAAAGGTTGATTTTCTTCATTTCAATCAAAACCTCGATAGAAACAGGATCCTTGCTTTCTTGCTTAATTTTAACGGGCATTTAACTTTGTGACATGGCAGAAAACACATTGCCACTAGTATTGATAAACCTTATAAACAACATTGACAATCAAGGACACCTCAAAAGTTGGCAACTACAGAGTACTTTGGAAACACACTCGTTGACGCTTGAATGGACGAGGACAGCTATCTGTAACAACAGTGATTACCAATCCGTGGGATCAGATTCTACCTTGGAGGACTTAGCTAAAAAGCCTGATCAAAGTGTTGTTTCACACGAAGATTGCGACGACGAATATTCGAGTGAGGGCATTTATGTTACAGGCAAAAATGCAAAATGTACGCGCTCCAATTTTTTATCGGGACTTCGACGAACTCTGGAGGATAAAGATAACAAACAAATTGAACTACGCATTTATAACGAAAGTGAAACTCCTGAAGCCATGCTGATCGAGGACAAAGTCAAGTACGAAACACAGATATATTTTCAAGGCGGACCGCGTGGCTTCACTACGATGAACAAGACGAAAGATTGTCGACGAAATTCCAGCTGTAAAACCCCAATTCATTCATCACCATTAGAAAACAAAAGATACCTTGCCGATTACACAACTGACGAATTAGCGGATCAAAGCGTATCAGGAACATGCGGCGATCCCTTACTAAAACGAGTCAGTCGCAAGGAACGAGCGCTTTGTTCTTGTGGAGAAGTTTTCTTCTCTCGAAATTTATCTGTCATTCATCTGTTATCGACCTGCCTTGTAAGTCTATGCTTTCGAATCGAACTCGAATATGATATACAACAAGTGCTAGACAGTTGGCATGCCGACGAAAAAGAAATTGGAATGGCGTGGTGGCAAAGTTACAAGAGCAATGGTTTCCCGGACGCTACAAAGGCAATAGTAGAAAAAAGGGCCAAACAGTTAGAAACACTGGTGAGCCAATTTATCGAAAAAGCAACTTCACAAACACTGAAAGATCAGAACGGAAATATGTTTGTGCTTATGAGCGGCCTAAGAGATCTTCAAGATTAATCTCAAATAACAATTTTAGAAGTAAAGGTAAAGGAAATTAAAGTAGAGCTTTTATTAAATCCATATGGAAGCCAACTAAGGCTGAATTGCATAAATTTACAAATTCCATCAATACAAAGCTTATAATATAAAAAAAGTGCTACAAAATTAAGCTTAGAATACTAATTTATAAAAATTCGTAAAAATTCAGACTACGAAAACTGCTAACGCCTGCACATAGATGGCAGAAATGTGCTAGAAAAACGCTTGGTAGTCAGTTTAACCCTTTGACGCTACGAGTGACCAGCATCTAATTTCTCCTTACAATATCACCCCTGAATCACACATTGAGGTCATGAGAATAAAGGAAATGATCAGCGTAAGAGTGACCAGCATCTAATTTCTCCTTACAATATCACCCCTGAATCACACATTAAGGTCACGGGAATAAAGGAAATGATCGCCAACTAAAGATGCTCTTGATTGTTTGACAAATTCTCCTTGTCAGCACCTTAGGAAATGTGTAGAGAACAGTATGGAGAATATGCATACTGATGTTAGGGTGTAAAGGGTTAAAAGGCTATTGGTCCATAAACCTATGAGCAGAATTTGATTTATCTACGCGTTCAAACCTAAAACATGCAATAGCGACTACTTGAGGTTCTGGGGTACATGTTAAATACACTTTCTCAGACTGAATTGGCTTGTAGTGGTTCTAACTTATGCTTATCAATCTACAGTGCCGAGTGGAAACTTTATAACGAATCATAGCAAAGTCCACTTGCAACAAAAACCAGTCCGGATACATGCCTGAGCTTATGGATTACAAGAATATCTGATGAAGGCTTCGCTCAGTTTATAAAAGAGCCACGACAGGAATAGACTATACGTAATTTATAATGACAATCTATCAGCGTAACACCACCAACACCTCTTGATTGCACACTCCTCTTGCAATACGGCACTTTCACTGCAATTATTTACACTACTAACAATCATATTTACGATGAGTCATTTATACGATTTACAGTTATTTTTTGGATGGAGACTACTTACAAGTGCACTACTCATATCGTTCACAATACGAGAAATATTTCGTTACCTTCTATTTCAATGATTGCAGTACATAAACTGACACCGAAAAACTGCAAAAAAAAAAAAAAAAAACTTGGAGGAAAGAACTCACAAATATTGATAAAAATTTAACAAAGAATGCTGTATTGTATACTCATGATATAAATGTTGCCGTTTTTATAGGGTTAACCCATCTTCGTATTTATAACTACTTTATAATATCGGCTGAAATGCATTATCGTAGTTAACGTTTTGTGCACTGTAGAATATACGTGGTTTCAATTCGATGATAACAAACCATATTACACGGAAAAAACAGTGTCATTCAAATGGAAATGGTATCTCCTGAAGGCTAGATTCCTTCGTCTTGATCCACTTTTCCACATTAATTTTGAAAGGTAGACAGGTGATCCGTGATAAATCCAACACTAGCTCTTCAAGCGTGTTACCAGACAGCTGAAAGACTATACCGCCTTCACTGTAGAACTTGTTTCCTAGTTTTCCATCACTTCTAGTCCTGTTTTGTCGGATGAATCCTTCCAGCCATTGCTTCAAAGTATCACGTCCCATGTTGAGACATTCACAGACGAACGCTTGAAATTTTTGCTCGTCACTCAGACGAGCGCATCTTTTATTTACCCAGTTGACCGCCAATTCTATAACGCCTGAAATGTCCTTCAATTCCTCAACTATGTTCCACAATGTGTATTTCACAATGAACTTTCTTCGCACGCCGATTGATAACATGTTCCAAAGGGCACTACATAAAGGACTGCAAACATTTTCGACCAAACTTTCATGTTTGGTGTTATCAAGTGCCTCTTCGGGCTCTTCACGGAGCTCGACAATGTGTAGGAAAACTCGCTGAGTGGCTTCACGAAGAGCCCCTTGGGAGGAAGACTCTGTCCCAGGCCTGCCAACAACGCCATCCGCCCCAGTTGCTCTCGGCCTTTCAACACTCGTTAAGTTTTCAGTTCCATCATCGTTAACTTTAGAATCTAATAACGTGACATTAATATCCTCTAGAGAGTTGCTTTGACTAAGTATTGGCGTAACAACTTGCTCTTCAGCAATGTCATCCTGATCACTAGGCGAGTCTTCTGTGGCCGCCGCCAAAGTTAAAGTGTCTCTCACAACTTCATTCTGAATCCCATTTGTGAAAGAGGAGAGTTCGTTCTCAATGTGCTCATTTTCTACCAAAGTCCAGAGCTTATTTTCTTGATTAAAGAAAGCTTCAAGCCTGTCTGATATATAAACTTTTGTTTCATAAGAAAGAGCATCATTGTCTAAACGCAGAGCTCCGCGTTCAACCACAACCCAAGATCCATTTTCAAACTGTAAGTGCCACCCAGAAAGACATATTCTAGAGAATTTGTTGGCTTCGCCTACTTCCTCCTCGTTGACTTTGTGACCAGAGCAAATCTTCAGAGCCAGTTGTAGAACACGTGGCGAGCTAATGATAGTGAAATCACACTGCTCATTACGAGCACAAGAGATACAATGGTTTTCACCTTCCTTGTCAATTAATGTTGAAAATCCAGAAAAACCATCCTGAATATCTGTCCCCTTTACCAATGCTTCTGTAGGATACAGGGACTCACATGGAACAGAAGGAGAGCTGTTATCGCTGCCTGTCACACAAAGCACGTGTCTCTCAAACTTACTCTTGGTGCTCGCAATTAGTGTAGGATTGTCAGCGGTTGTGTTTATTACCTGGCTTTCGTTGTCAATCTTTAAGTGGGCGATGGCCTCCACACCGTCGACTGATAAAGGCTTCCTTTCGTGATTTCTTGGCTCGCTACAAGATTTATCGCCGTCAGGAAAAAGTTCTGCCCTGTTAGAATCGATAATTGCACATTTTTTCTTCTGACAAGAAGCGTAGCGATTCTCTTTGGAAGATAAGTTCGACAACTGTCCCTCTGTTTTGTCATTGAGCGCATACTCGGGCATGGCTAAAGAGGAGGTGTTCAGCGAAACGTTGTCACCATCAAAGATCTCTCCATCTTCTTCTCTGGACCAACCACTTGAGTCACTGTGTTTCTTACTAATATTGTCCGCAACCTCTACCGTAATTTCATCTTCACCTTTTACACACAAGCCCAAAGAAGTTTCTTCAACCGGTTGAAACTCGGCATCATCATTGATATCATTTTCCGTTTCTTGAGACATTCTTCGAGCCTCAGTCGATACTCCGGGCTTCATTGGGCCACTTTGCCTGTCTGTCTCAGCATCCACTAATATACCTAAAGAGCTATCCGATCCAGAACGTCTTATGACATCATTTGACACTCCATAATGATGTTCGTAGAACACAAGACCATCGGGGCGTGAAACCTCATTGTTGTCCGTCTTAATTACATCAACATTAAAATTACTGTTGTGCCTACACTTTTCCTTTTCGACTCTTTTCAGCGCCTTTTTTTCCCTTCGGTTTTGCTGGTTCTTCCTTAGCTGCAAATAGAGAGGATTATTAACGGTTTCAACATAAATAGAGAGGCAATAAATGATGTTGTGGGATGAAAAAACCGTGCTAGGACTGCCTCTAACAATATCGTCAAGGACCAACATAACATCACTATGTACAAACATGCTCCATTTCAAATAAGCATAATGATAACCTATGCGACTGCGAGGCAAACGATGATTTCCGAAGTAATTTTGGTTTTATCAACTGAGTTTATAATGTAAATTAGCCATCGTAAAGAGTTTTGAAAGCTGTTTCGCTCTGACGAAGGGCTAAAACTCGAAACATCAGATTTTATAACTCTTTATGATGGCCAATTTACATTACCAAATCAGTTCATAAAACCAAAATTACCTTGTTACTCCCACTGACATAGCACCACAGTTTCTTTAGAAACTTATCCCCTTTATTCATTGATGATTTCCGAAGATAAGTTTAGACCAAATGGAGTAATCCTTCTCAATGACTTCGTCTTTGGAGGGGGTTTCTACGTCCATATAAACTTCTTATTGACACATCTCCGAAAGTAATAGTTACGATTTGCAATGAATGACTTTGGCTTTGGTATCCTTATAATGTTAAAGGATGATAGTTTCTAAAGAAACTGTTTGGGGCTGCGTCGTTGGGGGTAACGAAAGTTAAAGTCTATTAATTCCTTCACCCAAACAATATGCTGTTAAAAAAAAAACCGTGGCATTTTTTACTAGTCTGTCATTTCGTTGGTTACCTTTTGTCTTTGAATTTCTGATATCCGCGGCCGGAGAGGTAAAGAAACAGTCGCGGTTTTTAGAATCAGCCTTCCTATATGATTTACAAAGACAGAAAATCAAAGTTTATCACGCAATAACATACAGCAGTTTATCGAAATCGGTGCAACCTACAAAAGAGTGGTCATTCAGTCCCTCTAGAAGCTCTGATCATGGAAAGCAGTCTAAACTTCAGTAGGATCTGAAGAGGATGTTATGTCTTGGACCAAGATGACGCCTCAGAATTAAAAAATTATTATAGCAGAAGCACTCTTGAAGCACACACCCGACTTAAAACTTCCTATTGACTCATTCCTGTAAGAAGTTACGAGTTACCCGAAACGGAAGCTCAAAAGGACATCTCATAGACTCCAGAACTCTTACTTTACCCAATCAACGTCACATCCCCATTGGTTACAGGTGTCACAAGACATGGATTTAATTACAGTGCCATACTTTAATGTTTATTTTGTCCTTATGAATTCCCTACTTAAACCGCTAGTGTCCATGCCCACCTATCTTAATCGTGGGTTAGGCAAGGTCACATCAGCGGTCACCGGTTATACCAATAGTGTCCATGCCCACCTACGAGAAAAACAATTCGTAAGCGCCCTGCTCCAGTTACTGAAACTTTTTCCAACTTCCGAGGATGACTGCTGACCAGAGCTTTCACTGTATCGAGCCTGAGTATTGACCCTCCGTTTTCGGACTCTCTTAAACTGAGAACAAAAAGCGTAAATACGTAGAACATACCTTGCAGAGAATGTTTGAGTGGCTCCTCCTCGGGAGTAAAAAGATTTGCTTGAAGTAGAAAAAGATAAACAAGGCTAAATGTGGAAGTAATGAATTTTATTACAATGATCATATTAAAAAAAAACCAGGAAAGATTTATTACTCGACGTTTCGGGGTCATCGTGACTCCATTATCAAGAGACTAGTTTAAAAACATGCAAATAAGGAAAGGTACAAGAATAGCATAAATTAGACTGAACGGCTTAAACAAACACCTTGGCGCGGATGGAATCCGTTTGCACGTTCAGTGTTGGCTTACGCATGCGAATATACAACATTTCATTAACAAGGCAATCAAATTTGCCGTTACATTTCGTGATGACGTTGAATTGCTCGATCAAGCGTTCAGGCATTTCACTATTGTGCTGGAGGTGGTAGTGTTTGTAGATAGAAGATGATTTCCTTTTGTGCCCTTCTACGCGCTCGTGTAAGTGACCACGAGTNTCATATTGAATATTTAAATACCATAGGGTGACTTTATGAATTATTTTAGTTTTACATTTTATTAGTTCGTTGTAGGTCCACATCAGCCTTATGGCTGCCCCCTTCCTTACAACCTGCATTACTAAATAAAATGATTGATTGATTGATTGTACTAAACATCAAATCAGTGATCACATTTCTCTGTTGAAGAAGCCAATGATGGTTATTTTTTGGTAGGGGGGGGTGCAAGTTCGTTTTCAAAAGAGTTTCATCTGATCTTACGCTTACACTGATTCCACATATTTTTCTTTTGTCATCAAACTGTTTTCGTATAATCGATCACTTGAAGTTTTTCTTTTTCAGAAGTTTTCAATTTTTGTATTCTTACGAGCAGAAGGTTTATATAGTAAGTGACCGTAGCTTTCTGGCTGTGGACGTGTATCTCTATGTTGAGTTAGTTCTTGTTTTAGACTGTCATTGTGAGGATCTCGGAAATATAAGCAAGTCACAACTCTTTTCATACATGCGTGAAATGGTGCTGAGTCGAAGTAGAAGTAGCAAGAGATATTCTGGAAATGAAGACTTTTACACTATCACCCATGGTAGCTCTCCCGTAGCCTGTTAGCGTAAAGAGCTCGGCTTTCCTCCCAGAGGCCCAGTTGTAGATATATAACTTACACGTTCCATCGTCATTAACCAGATATAAACCAAAGTTATCAATACAAAGGGACTCTAGCTTGTCGGCCAAAACAGGAATACAAGGAACCTGAAAACAATTCGAAGAAGACTTTTCATTCTTCTGAACTGTATGATGATGTAGAGCAATAGCTTTGGGAAGGGGGTCCAAATTTTGATTCAATAAAAGACGAATTTCTTTTATTTTCATCACTAGGGCCTCAATAAGCTCAGAAAATTTGAAATTTAAATGCTTCAAATTACATGTTAATGCCATCCTGCCGTTGGATGAAGTTTGGTTTAAGACGAGTAGTAAAAAAACCAGGTCTAATGGAGATAGGGGTTTGGAACCCCCTGGACCCACCCACTAGAACTCAAGTGGCACAGTTATGACAAACACAGCCATTCTAAATCCAATACGTTCGAACTAAACTGTACGTTATTTCCCGGAAGCAACACTTTGAGATTTAAGGACCAAAACAAGGAAATATGTTGCAGTAAACTTAGCAAGCTCTTAAATATGTTTTCCTTAACTGGGGGACACATGTCAAAAGATGTGAAGTCTTACCATTCATTTTCAAAGTTCAGAGTGAACTTACACTGGGACAGCGGTTTCTAAGCTGTCTACTTACAACAGTGTACAATGCATGATTTCTTACACAACAGTAACAAAAGTATCTCTCTTGGAACCACTCTCTTGAGGGTTGTCCAATACACCCAAACCGTTGCGAATCGTGTGTTGTTTAATATAATATTCTGAAAATGGACTTCCGACTGTTTCACGCTTTAAGAACGTGGAAGGTCTTATGTTGTCATTTTCTCATACCATGTTACTCATTTTTACTCATTGCCCACGCCCTTCGGCTTCCAGCATGTTCACGCACGATTCGATGTCCGGCATACCGTGGTATTCATTTTCACACATCACTTACGCCTCCTGACTTCCGGTACGATAACGCACAAATCAACTTCCGGTTTGACGATTCGTCAACGACCGTACACGAATCGCAACGATTTGGGTGCATTGGACATGTACGACTCCCTTTTGGATTAAATGAACCCTTTACACCCTAACATAAGCATGCATATTCTCTACTGCTCAGGAGATATTGTTTTCCCATCTAAAGCTTTTTCACTTAATAATCATATCCTCTATTCTCATGGCACTTATGTTGGATGAAGTGGCGATATATATATACCTTATTAACCAAGCGCGAGAGCCGTACTGGGAGAATATCGGCTCGAGGTCTTGACAGTACGGACCGAGGGCCGATATTCTTCCAGTACGGTCCCGAGAAAGCTTGGTTAATAAGAGATTTATTATACGACAGAAGTTCAAAGGGACACAAGTGCGGTATCATTCGGGACCATTCAGGACAGTGCCCGGTCCAATACTGAGAAAATATTGACTGGCAATAGAGCATTTTGATTGGTTGATTTTAGTTATTGGCCCTCTGACTGCCCGTGTCGTGTAATCAGAAAGGAAAAATTCAGCTGCTAATCACCCTTGGGGTGAACAGATTAATCAAACACTCCATTTACCTCCTTTGCCTTTATGGAAACTAAACAAGGAATTACTTGAAATGTGCCATCTTCAAAGTGAATAATCAGCAGCTGGGAAAAGAAAATAAATTGATAAGAATTCTGTCTGGATATAAAAGAGACAGTTCATTGACAAGGTACCTCTACACATTCAAAGTTTAGTTCAAAACAATATAAATTTGAATGAAGAGGACAATAAGACACTGCTTTCTAAGATGCATAACTTCTCAGTTCAAAAATATTTTTTAGAGAATGTTCTTTTAAGAAATGAAGACAAATATATTAGTATTACGTGTCGATAGAAAAGACATTCACCCATTAAATAAACACTTGAAAGAAAGACAACTTGACAACTTTATTTTACTATCCAAAATTGAGACCTTAACCTCAATGACAGAGCAATTACTTACCTTGTAATTGTGTACTAAAAGATAGAAGTGGTTTCCAAGTTTGGAAATGTCTAAAGTTCCATCCTTGATGTCAAATCTGTGCCCTGGAATTAAAAACAAGCCAATGCTAATTCACAATTGTGCAAACAATTCTAACTTTCAACAATTTTAGAAGGAAAGTGTGTGGATGTCTTTCTGACTAATGGGTGCAGTGGCCTATCACATCAATGAATAATCCAGTGAAATTTTCGTGCAACAAAATCTCCTCTTATCCATCACCAATTGTGCTTAACTTTTGCAGGAAAATGAAATTTGAAATGTTTTTATTGTTTGTTACTCCCTTTGCTTTTGAAATTGGCAACTTTTTCAAATGAAGGCCTTCTGCTCAATTAAAAATCATTCACCAAACAACACACTTTTTAAGACAAAATTATTTTAACAGTACATTAACAATTATAAAACCTTACCAATTCCATTGGCTGTTACTGTCCATACTTCCATCGATGACTGTTGAAGCTTACAAATGTGGCAACCAGCACACCGTTTGGTTTGTGACTTCATATGTAGGGTATCTACCAATTCATCCATATCACACACACATGGAAGGAGAACTGTGTGAATTTTTGTATCCCACATGGTGACAGATACATATACTGGCTCACTGGAAAATATGCACTTAAAGTAAGTTGATGACATGTGTATGCATGGCAAAAGTGCCTGTCAACACGAAAAAGTGCCCCTTTAATGCCAGATACTTCTCCCCCATACCCCATCCATCTCAGCTTGCTGGATTGCTCAATGAAAAGAGGAGTTCTAAAATAACTACAAAAAAATCATACCATGCAGTTGTATATTTTGTAGTTCAAAGTCACACTTCCAGATCAAATTAATCTTAAACCAGTTAGATTTCTAGACTCTTTTGTTCTAGATATATTAATTAGCATTTTCCATAAAAAAAAAAAATACCAATCAAATTAGTTTGAAATCAGTTCAACCTGAAGTGATTTTAAACCAAAACATATACACTTCTAGAGGTCTTACTGGCATTCACTTGAACCACAGAGGATGCTGTCAGCCTACAAAAGAAATTATGGAAACATTATATGCAAATTGTTGTTATTTGTAACAATCACTTCTTACTTAAGTAAGGAAAGAACATTAAATGCCCTGATACTTACTGAGCTTTCATCCCCATTATAAACTGGGACAGGCACATCTGCAAAGTTTCCTTGATTAATGAAATGCTTCTTCATTTTTTGTCTCTTTCGGTGCCGTATCCAAAACTCTTTGGCTTCTCTTAAGCCATTCACCCACTCTTCCATTGCTTGTCTAGACTGTAAAAACACACCATGAAGACCACAGTCATATTGAGTACACTGATTGCCATGAGAGAGAGCTAGAAATGTCCATTTTGTGGCAATTCATAAATAATGGTCTTCCCCAAGAAGACGAAGGGCTAGCGCTCCGACAAAGGCCTAACGCTCGAAACGTCAGCTTTTGTAATCGTTACAGTGGCCAATTTACCATTTCAACTTTGTTGATATATCCAAATTATTTCATTACCCCCACCGACACAGCCCCAAACAGTTTCTTTAGAAACTATCAGCCTTTATTCCCATGATATGACATACGTGGCACAACAATGCATGCAGGCCAACTTTCTATAATATCTAGAAGTCTTTGTCACTTTTATAATTTCTAAATCTCACAGATTAAATGAAATTTGAATAATTTAAATTTGAATAATTTAAATTTGAATAATGTGTTCTATAAAATAAGGGTCAGATCAATAAATTTTCCTTTTTCAAACAATATTAGGTTACTTATTCAAGGGTGGCTTTGTATTTGAATGAATTTGAAGTTTTGGATCACCTGTGACAATTTTAGCAATTTCATTTTTTGGGGAGACTCTTGATGAAGCCCTCTACTCTCACTCACATTTTTTATTTTTTCTGAGAGGAGAAATATGGGCAAGTGCCCAAATTAAAAAAAAGTCAGATTTCAGATTCCTGTGCAGAGATTGGCATCTCTGGCAAAGTAGTGGTTGCTACGTGGTTACGGGTGTAACAATTAAAAAATATTTGGCTTTTCTTAACCCTTTGACCCCTACCTAGGAGTGACTGTCATATAATGTCGCCGTACAATATCACCCCTGACTCAAACATTCAGGTTGCAAGAATAAAGAAAATAACAATCACCGACTAAAGAAGCTTTTGATTGTTAAACAAATTCTCCTTGTCAACACCTTAGGAAATGTATAGATAACAGTCTGGAGAATGCAAACTGATGTTTGGGTAAAAAAAGTTCAGACGACTTAAGAATCAGTACCTCAGTAGAAAAGACGTACTCTGTAGACTCTTTGTCATTAAGGGTTAGCTTAAAGCTGCAGTTCTTGTAGTGTTTGCTGGACATCAAAATTTCTGTAACGCCACATACCTAACGACATAATTGCCAATGATTAGCAAAATGATAACTTTATCAGCTGTGAGACTACTTTGATAAATTTATTGGAAGAGTTTTGAAATGGTCTGGACAAACAAAATTTCGCTTCTATTATTAGTATTGATCTGTCCAAAGCCTTTGACGGCTTGCCACATGATTTAATTTTAGCCAAACTTGCTGCCTATGGTATATCACCCAAAAGTTGTGCATTTATAGGTAATTACTTGACTGATCACTTATAGAGGGTAAAATTAGGCAATCAACTTTCAGATTGGAGTCCTCTTCTTAGAGGAATTCCTCAAGGGTCTGTATTAGGTCCCCTTCTTTTTAATATTTACCTAAATGATTTACTATTATCTAGTCTTCAGTCCAAAATAAGTTCATTTGCCGATGATACTCAGATCTTCGATATTGATAACGATGTTTCCCTATTACATGGAAAACTACAAACTGATCTTGTCACTGCTTATTCTTGGTTTTGCTCTAATGGCCTTGTTATGAATCCGGATAAATGTACTGCCATGTGGCTGGGTAAGAGCAATGACAGTCTACTATACCCTGTTTTGCCATTGGGAGTCAGGAGATCAGTTTTTTTTTTTG